GCTGTTTTTCAACCCGCATTTAATCTAGTGAGGAAGTATAAAACTAAAGGAAGGTCAATATTTATTGGAAAATTCTATAGAAATGTTTTTCTGTTTAAAACTTAAACTTTATCGGTGAAACTCAAGTTGGATAAACAGATGGTGATGTTTAGATGTTAGCTTCAGATCCGATGATTTAGTTTTGTCTTTATATCTAATATTTATAGAAAAATCAAAGCAGACATCAGTTAACATTCAGGCTTGATTTTATCTCCGTGTCTTCACTTAGCGTCGGTTCTGGTTCTGGTTCTCCTGGCCCAGTTTAGCGGTGTTTATTAAAATAATTAATATTTGCACATTGTTGTTGAACCATCATCCAGGAACTGAATCAGCTTTTAGTGTTTCCTGTTTCCGGGCAGATCAGGAGCATCGTTTCCGTCTGTGAGGCTTTTGGGTCAGACATCATGGCGGCTCCCGCTCTGCTGGTTCTGTTCGGGAGTCAGACCGGAACCGCCCAGGACACGGCCCAGCGGTCGGCCGGCAGGCCCAGAGGAGGCGGCTGAAGGTCCGGGTTCTGCCTCTGGACGGATACAACGTGGTGAGTCCGTATCTGCTGCAGGTTTTCCCTTCATCCACCTTCCCAGGGCATGAGACTGCCACTGCCGTGCTTCACTGGGGACCAGACTTGTTTTCCCACCTGAGCGGCGCGACTCTGCAGCTCCTCCAGAGGCTCTGTGCTCCTCTGATTCTTCCATTAAGGACCATGTCAGTTGATCGCATGAGATTTTATTTCAGGGCATTGCAGTAAAAGGGGCTAAATGCAAATTTATTTTAAAATTTTCCTATTTTTATTAGTTAAAAATTAGTAAAATTTATTCAGTTTCCTTAAACATTTTTTTGTCTGTTTTTGCTTAAATTTCTGAAGGAAAAAGTTTAAAGTGTGAAAACTTTTGTGTTTTGCAGGTTCATTTATTTTCCTTCTGTTATTTTTAGACAATCCGTCTTTAAAAAGTCTTAGATTCATTTATATAAAAATTACAGCCTTAAAGTTGATTAAAAAATATTAAATTTGGCTTTAAATATACAACATTTTGTCGTGTTGGAACTATTTGAACCTAACTATTTGATCTCCTTTTCTATGAGACAAAAGTTTGAGTCGGTTCAGGCTAATGCTAACTAGCTGCTAATATAACCTAGCTACTCAGCTAGCTTGTTTGTATCTAACATGAGTAAATTCAAATGTTTCATATCAGATGTTATGAATAGAAGTTTAGGGGTAATTATAGATTTGCCTTTTTGTTTTAAATATCTGAAATGCTTCCAAACTTTTCCAGTTTGTTCAGTTTCTCTGCTCCGTTTTTTATTTTTAAGCAGTTGAGGCGAAACCTGAAACTGCTGCTGCGCAACAGGCTGTTGCTAGGTAACCCTCTGTCTCGTCTACAGCCTTTCCTTTGCCTACATCTCCCAGAATGCTGTGCGGTTCTAGATCAGAGTTCAGTGAAAATTTTATTTGACTTATTTATTGATGAGGGTTTGTTGAGGTTCACATTTTATTCATAATAGTGCTAAAAGGTTTTAGAAAGTAATCCTGCTTAATGGACCTGGTGGTTCTGTAGTGACCCAGTGGTCCAGTAACGGTTCTGGTTCTGGTTCCCCTCCAGGCCGACCTGATCTCAGAGTCTCTGGTTGTCTTCGTTTGCTCCACCACCGGTCAGGGAGACCCGCCAGACAACATGAAGGTAACGCAGAGTTTACTCTGAGTTCTGGACCCGACTGATCCGACCCGACCCGCCTGATCCGACCCGTCTGATCCGATCCGACCCATTAGATCCGACCCGACCCGCCTGATCCGACCCGTCTGATCCGACCTGACCCATTAGATCCGACCCGACCCGCCTGATCCGACCCGGGTCATTTTCCCGTCTTTCCCCAGAACTTCTGGAGGTTCCTGTTCAGGAAGTCTCTGCCTGCCGGGTCGCTGAGCTGCCTGGACTGTGCGGTTCTGGGATTGGAGACTCATCGTATCCAAAGTTAGTCCAGAACCAGAACCCACTCAGAACCCGTCCAGTTCCCGTTTAGAACTTCTTCTTCTTCTGCAGGTTTAATTTCGTGGCTAAGAAGCTCCAGAAGCGTCTGGTCCAGCTCGGGGCGGCCATGTTGGTTCCGGTGGGTCTGGCGGACGACCAGCACGACCTGGGGTGAGACGTTCCTGCCGTCGCCGTAGCAACCGGCTCTGGACTGGATGGAGTCCGGACCGGGTCAAAATGTTCTCCTGCCGCAGGCCGGACGCCGTGATCGACCCGTGGCTCAAGTCATTCTGGGAGAAGGTTCTGGTTCTGTACCCGGTTCTGTCAGAGGTGGAGCCGCTGAGGGACGACGAGCCGTGAGTGACCCGACACGACCCGGCAGCTGGTTCTGAGGCCCGGTTTGAAGGTTCTGCTGTTTGTCCTGCAGACTGCCGCCGTCGTATACGCTCCACTTCCTGGATGAGAAGACGGACCGGAACCCGGAGCGGAACGGGACCGACGTGGAGCGGACCGGGACCGACGTGGAGCGGACCGGGACCGACGTGGAGCGGACCGGGACCGTAACCTCAGAGTCCAGTCCGTTCCCGGCCCGGTTGCTGTCCAATCGCCGGGTCACCGACCCGACCCACTTCCAGGACGTCCGGCTGCTCGACTTCGACATCAGCGGATCCAACATCCAGTACGTGCTCCGGTCCGGTTCTGATCCCAGTCAGACCCGGTTTCAGGGTCCTAGGTAGCCGGTCCGTTCCGGGTTTTAGCAGAACCGTTTTTTTCAGGAATAATCTGTAACGTTCTCAGAGAACTGATTCCTGGTTCTGACCCAAACTCTGTGGTTCTTTTCAGGTTTTCAGCCGGAGACGTGGTTCTGATCCGTCCCCAGAACTCAGAGGACGACGTCCAGCGGTTCTGCCAGCTGCTCCGGTTGGACCCGGACTCCAGATTCACGCTGACGCCAAACGGTGACGCTCCAGGTAGATCCGCTCCAGCAGGTTCTGGTGCTGATCTGTGTGGTTCTGACCCAGTTCCGGCCCGGCTGCCTCGGCCCTGCTCGGTGCGCCACCTGGTGGCGCGTTACCTGGACGTGGCGGCCGTTCCGCGCCGCTCCTTCTTCGAGCTGCTGGCCGCAGTGGCGACCTCTGACCTGGAGCGGGACAAGCTGCTGGAGTTCTGCTCGCCGGCGGGTCAGGACCAGCTGCAGGCCTACTGCAGCCGGCCGCGCCGCACCGCGCTGGAGGTCAGACGTCACGCCCGCCGTCCGACGTGACGAGCCGGGCTCCCCGCGGTGACCCGGTTCTGGTTGTGGTTCCAGGTTCTGGCAGACTTTCCTCTCACCACCGCAGAACTGGAACCGGACCGGCTGCTGGACCTGATCCCAGAGATCCAGCCGCGCTCCTTCTCCATCGCCTCGTCTCTGAAGGTACCGCCACCGAGCCGCCGAGCTGCAACCTGACCTCTGACCCGGTCCGTCTGCCGGCAGGTTCTGCCCGGACGACTGCAGGTTCTGCTGGCGGTGGTCCGCTACAGAACCAAGCTGCACCGACCCAGAATAGGACTCTGCTCCAACTGGCTGGCCTCTCTGGACCCGGAACAAGGTCGGTTCTGGTAGCTGTATGGGTCCAGTTCAGTGCAGTCAGAACCAGAACCACGGGCCTCATCTGGACCCAGACCCGGTTCTGTTCAACCCGTCTGAATAATTCACTGTAAAACTGAAGCGAAAAAAAAGAGTTTATTTCTTTAAATGATTTTATTTTTTAACACAAAGTAAAAATAATAAAAAGTCAAAACATTTTAACTTTTTATTTGTTTCGACTTTATTTATGTAATTTTATGTATTGTGGATTTTCTGACTATTTTCTAAATATTTTTTTAATTATGGCCTCAGATTTTAAAAAAAGTTACATAAATTTTAATCTTTATTAAATGCAGATGATTCATTTTTATACTAAAGAAATAAATGTTAATTTTTATTTAGTTTACATTGAATTTTTACTTTGCTGATAAAGTTAAACGTTTCTCAGCAGAAATTTTGATTGTAGGTAAAAAGAAAAGAAAGTTATGTGGAAGGAAGAAATGTTGATGGACTCTTATAAAACTTGATTTCAGCTTCTAGTTTTTGACACCTGGTACTTCCCGTTTCTTTAGGTGAGGTTCTGGTTCCGCTGTGGGTGAAACGGCGGCCTGCGGTTCCCTCCGGACCGGGACGCCCCGTGGTTCTGGTGGGACCCGGAACCGGAGTGGCTCCCTTCAGAGCGGCGCTGCAGGAGAGGCTGGCTGAGGGAAAAGCAGGTGAGTTGTTGCGGCGACCCGGTTCAGCTCGGCCCGGTTCAGCTCGGCCCGGTTCGGTCCGGCTCGGTTCGACCCGGTTCAGCTCGGCCCGGTTCAGCTCGGCCCGGTCCGACCCGTCATCCTCCCTCTCTTCCCTCCAGCCAACGTTCTGTTCTTCGGCTGTCGCTCGGAGACCAAGGACTTCTACTTCCGCTCCGAGTGGGCGGCCATGTTGGCGGCCGGGAAGCTGCAGCTCTTCACTGCTTTCTCCACGGACCAGGTCAGAACCCGACCCGAACGGACCGGTTCTGACCCGGTGAGGTGTGTGGCGGGCGTCCTCAGCTGTGTGTGTGTTCAGGAGGAGAAGGTGTACGTTCAGCACCGCGTGAGGGAGAGGGCAGCGCGCTGCTCTGGGACCTGATGAACAACAAACATGGCTGCTTCTACATCGCCGGGTCAGTCCAGAACCAGAACCTCCAGAACCAGCCCTGCTGTTCTGCTCTAGTTTTCTACAGAGGAAGAGACCAGAAACAGAACTTTGTGTTTTTGCTGATTTTATTTTCGACCCGTTGGTTCTAACGTTCCTGACCCGGTTTCTGGTTCTGTTCAGGAACGCCAAGCAGATGCCGGCGCCGTGCGCGACGCGCTGCAGTTCGCCTTCCAGCAGGAAGGGGGCGTGTCCGCCGCGGAGGCGGAGCAGATGCTGGTCGCCATGGAGAAGACGGCGCCTGCAGAGCGAGACCCTCCTGACCCGGAGCCCGGTTCTGACCCGGAGCCCGGTTCTGACCCGGAGCCCGGTTCTGACCCGGAGCCCGGTTCTGACCCGGAGCCTATGGTTCCAGCTTGACCATCAATAAATGTGTTTGTCTTGCATCTGGCTTCATGTTTCAATGACAGAACAGAACGGTTCTGGTTCTGGTTCTGGTCAGGTCCACATCAGGCCCGAAATGGGAGTTCAAAACCTGTCCAGGTGAGGGCGTCGCCGTGGCGACAGGCTCCGCCCCCTACCTGAGGGCCAGCGTGTGCACCTGGTAGATCTCTTTGGGGAAGTTGAGCTGCTGCTCCTCGTGGACGACCCGCAGCCCGGCCCGGCCCACCAGGCGCCGCACGATGTCCAGGTCCCGGCACACGCTGCTGTCCACGTCGTCGGGGACGACGCCTTCGTAGGACACGTTGTCTTTGATGATGATGAGGCCGGCGGGACGAAGGGCTTTCTGGCAGCGCCGCAGGAACGCCACCAGGTGGTCGTCGGTCAGGTGACCTGCAGAAAAACCCAAAGTATTCACAGAACCAGAACCAGGCCAACAGGAAGGACAGGGATGAAACATCTGAAAAGTGTGGCAGACACGTTCTAAACTAAACGTGAAATGAAGAAGGAGGAGAACGTTTCAGTCTGATCCATCTGGGTCACATTTAGAACGGTTCTGGTTCTGATGAGGCCCGTCTGTCAGATTGAAATATTTGACCAAATAAGGTCGTAACGTTCATCAAGTCATGTTTCTGGACCAAAACGTCAATTTGTTCTTAGGATTTTATTGGTTGGAAGAGTCCAGATAATGTCATTAATATTCTGAATTTAAATCCACATTTATTATTTATTGTTTTAATTTCTGTCATAAATCCTCATAAAATCCATAAAACTTTGTTTCTGGGTTTTAGAGCAAAGCTAAGAAACATGTTTTATTTTGACAATAAAGTTAAATAACCAGGAAAAAGACATAATAAAGCAACATTTTGTAAAATGAAGTCAGAATTCCAGAAAAAATATGAAGAAATAAAATGAGTTGTAATAATTTATAACAGAATAAAATTAGAAAATTTCAGGAAGAAAACTGAGAAAAAATTGAGGATATAAACATGATTTCAAATAAAATCATGTTTTTTAAAAAAGTGGTAGAAACTCGTGATCCTTCAGGAACGATTCCTCTGAATTATTACGACTGTAGAGGCAAAATTAGGAGAAAAACTCCGATTTCCTTTTGGTCGTGTCCATAATATTGATGCTATGGACATTTTAAATAGTTTAGATATTTTTGGACACACGTCGGCCGGATCCGGCCCGACTCACCGATGACCCACTGGATCCAGATGACGTCGTAGCGGTCCGGTTCTGGGACGAACTCCTGCAGGCCGCAGCAATAGTAGTTCCCGACCCGCTTGGCGTCGTCGCCCAGGAACGTCCGGGCTTTGTCCAGGAACTCCTGGGTCACGTCCACCAGGTCCACGGTCCGGAACAGCGGCAGCAGCAGCCGCTTGCTGATGCGGCCGATCCCCGCGCCGCAGTCCAGGCGCGGCCCGTTCCCGTCTTCCCTTCGCCATCCTGCGGGGGACGCCACACGTAGGACAGGAAGCAGCCACGGCGCTCCGTACTGAGCTAACGCTAACGTCTCTTACCCCGAGAAACTTCCTGAGGAAGGCCTTGGAGCCGCTGATGTCGATGCTGGAGATGCTGCCGTAGCCGCCGAGCATCCCGTCAACGGTGGGCGGGACTTCCTTCCAGTAGTCCTCCGCGTTGGAGTAGAAGCTGGACTTGTCCTCCGCCACGTCCCCCATCCTGTCCACAGAGACGAAGGGAGAGGTGGGACACAATGGATGGATGGATAGTTGGATGGATGGATGAACAAACAGAAAGATGACTGACTGCATCCAGCTGTGTCAATGTTCTGACCCGGTTCGGTCCACTTCCTGTCCGTCCCGCCCTCTAACAGGTGGGTCTGAACCTGTCAGTTCCAGGAAGTGGGGGCAGTAACCATGACCATATTTGGCAGCAGCTCAGAGGTCTTCAGACGTCACGTGACCATCAGTCATCCTGACTTCTAGCTTATATTTCTGATCTAACCTGAGCTTCGGTCGCTTTTATAAAATGTCTGAATCTTTACAAACAGGAAACTCAACATAAATATCAGACATAATTCTGTCTTCTGACAGGTCTATAGCCTCACAGCAAAACCTGCTTCAAAAAGTCACTTTACGACCCAAACCTCTCAACTTTCTCCTGTTTTAGCAGCAAACTGCCGGTTAGCCGTTAGCCGCCGTTAGCTTCCCTCCCGTCGGTGAGAGCAGCAGCTCTGCCCGGCTCCGGGCGGCTTTAGCCCGCTGGAACTGGAGGACTGACCTGGTTTCGTGTCCGCTGGAGCTCTGGCAGACCTCCGCAGCGTGTTTCACTCACTTTCTATTTGAGGACTTCGCCACACGGACAGCACGTCATTTCCTTATTTGGTTTGCTGGGGAATGGCCAGCAAGTAGCTCCCCCTGCTGGTAGATTTGAAGAAGTACAGAATCAACAGCGTCCTGGGTTGTTGGCCTGGAAACGAACATGGTGAAATAAGATCAACAGAAAATCAGTTAAAAACTTTGGGAAATAAAAGCCTTTTGCCCTGCAGCAGGAAGGTCCTGGGTTCGAATCCCGCCTTGATTTGGTGTAAGAAACTTACTTTTCATACAAAATGTTACTTTAAGAAGAAACGAAACAATTATTTAATATTTAACAAAACAATGTTGGATTAAAACTAAATTCTTCTATAAATCCAGTAGATGTTGATGTAACTTTTTGCAAATAGACACTAGAGGTGTTCTCTAGGGTTCCTCCTCACTGGACACAAGATTAAAAATTAAAAATCATAAACCTTTAGCAAAGTGATCTGCTTGAACACAAAAAGAGGAAGTGACTGATGTAAACACAACATAGATCAGGAAAACTGTTTAGCACATCTGTTGTCCAGGAGCTGCTAAATGAGATTCTCCTGACATAAAAACATTTCAGACTTTAATACTTTACCAGCATATGTACTGGAATCAAACATGCAGTTATTATATCTGCGGCTATAAAACGCTGCATGCCCGCAAAGCCCTAACGAGCTTCCGTAGGAGTCATGCTACAGCTAGCGTTTAGTGCTAACTTTAGCCACTCAGCTTAATCCTGCAGTTTGGTGCGTAAATAATGTAAAGTGATGCATTAAATGATCCAAAAGAACTTTAAATTACAACTTTTCTTCAGATTCACGTTTCCATGGTTACAGAGCTCAGTAGATCACGTGACAGTTGACGCCTAGCTCTTCCAGTTAGCTTCCGCTAGCTTAAAGTCATGTGTCTACGCATGCGCATACTCGTAGGCGTGTCTCTGGGTTCGCGCGGGGACAGCTGCGTCATAACGGCTTATGACGTCACCCAGGATCAAAGGCAGCTTCCTGCTGCGGTCAGTTCAGTTTCAGGTGAAGTCATTTCGAGAAGAGAAGCCGTCGTGAGCAGAACGTCGTTTCTTCACTGAAACTTTGAGAAAAAGGAGATAAAAACTTTGAACAATGTCAGAATCAGAGGAGCAATGAACAGGAGCATCAGCATCTCCATTGACAACCTGGAGGACATCATATTGCCCCGCCTGAGCACTTTGACCCCAGCACAGTGGACCTTGCTGTCACAGGGTCTGAGGGATTCACATATAACAGGCGTCATGGCTGACATACTCACCAACATTTTCCAACAATGTGTGGAAAATTCACTGACTGTCCTTGTGCCAATATTGGAAGAAACATGGTGAAGTGCATGAAGACTAAAATACCAGATGAAAACATCAGTGTGCATTTGACCAACATGATTTCAACAGAAATGGCCACCGTCCTCGAGGTGTCTCCACCGGAAGAGGTCTGTGACAGCAGCATGGAGCTGAACTCCCTGATGGAGCAGGAAGTCTCTGAAAAGGTAACATCTATTGTAAATGGCATCAGGAGAACCTCCAGTTTTCCTTCGTCACCAGCAGTGTTTGCAAGTGGCTGCATTTCTAACCTGAGAAATTTCAATAACATGGTTTCCAACTCAGTTCAGTGTTTCCGAAAACACATAAACAGACCCAGATCAAGATGCATCGAAAGGTACTGGAGCGCGTTCACTAAGAAGCGAACGTCAGGCGCGTCTCCAGCAGAAGCAGAAACTGCCTTCGACCTCACAGGGAAGCGTTTCTCCTATTGTCAAATCTCTCTACTCCGTGGCCTCAGTTAGCGAGAGCATCACTGAGATCATCGAGAAATATTCAGACGACGCCAAAGGCGCAGAGGATGCAGAATCTGGCATAGATCATGTCCAAGTAAACGAGGTTGCAGACGGGATCAGCAAAACCATTATTGACGACCTTCATTACTGTAAGGCTGAAGGTTTGGTGGGACAGAAAGACCCAAGCTGCTCATGCGCTCCTCATTTTAACCTGAAAAAGATTCTTGGTGATATCAGAAAACCTTTTTCGCTCAAAGAGCAAAACTGTTCCTCCTGCAAAAGAAGAAATTATCAAAAAACCACAATTTTCCAGGTTCGCCAAGAACCAGTTCACCACCATGACGTCTTCTTTGGAGAGCTCAGTCTGGGATCCGAGCGACACAAATGTGGTGAAACTGAAACGAGGCAGATCTTTGTCAAACAGATTGGCTCGCCTCATGTTTCCTGGGTGTGTCCCAGAGGACTCAGTGGAGCAGGTCCGGTCAAAACCACCCGGCAAAACCAAAACAGACCACCCCTCAACTGGACTTCCAGTCCATCAAACCTCAGTTTGACAGGCTCTGTGCAGAATTCATGGAGAACCCACAGCTGAGTGACAGGATCAAGCAGTTTTCCAAGGAACTGACAGATAAATTATATACTGATATCACCAGTAGCCATCATTATAAACTTCCTGTTCCCCCTGAAAACCTTTCAGAGTCTGTTCTCTCTAGCGAGAAAATTAGTGACCTTTCTGGCCAGAGAGAGATTTGCCCTGAAATCTTCTACGCAAGAACAGAAGACGAGGTGAAGAGGTTCCTCCAAAACATCTTCCTCTGGATCAGAGACGAGGAACGAATCGCATCAGTGAGAGCGACAGGGTGTCCAACGTCCTCTCGGAGATCAGCGATCTCGTTGGACAAACGTACGAGACCCAAATCCCCAGGGACTCCAGCTCATCCATCTCAACCACGGAAGACAAATCTGGGTCAATGGAACCAGAGAGTAAAGTTGTCACATTTTATCAAGAAATCGATAGGAGTCAAACTGAGAAGCCTGCAGAAACCCCAGAAGAACAGATGAGAGACCTTGAGATCGGTACGGCGTGCTTTGTGTTCAGGGCCGTTTTAAACTGCTCAAAGGAAAATGGAGGACCCTTCAACAAAAAGGAGATGAGGAGAATCTTACGTTACTGTCAGGGGAGAGAATACGACTAATCACAGATTTCTCTGTCAGCATAGACAACGACAACAACACATTTTTCTAGAAACCTCTACGAAGATCTGAAAGAGCAGTTTGGCTCTGCAGAAGAGCTGCAGACGGCGGCGATGTCACTGAACGGCAAAGCTTTTCAGAAAGCTTTAGTGACGCATTTAAAGAGTTACATCCCCAAGAAAAACCAGAAAACTGTAGCGCAGAAAACCGTGTCAAAGGTCAGGAAGACTCTGAGGATCCTCATCGGACGGCAGGGGGAGTCTGTCTTCCAGTAAAACACACACACACACACACACACACACACACCACACACACACACACACACACACACACACAAACACACACACACACACACACACACACACACACACACACAGGCTCTGGCAGGGTAAACAGATAACAGGAGAAATAATTTGCTATTTGATAACAGACCAGACAAAATACAGGAATACACGTATTATTAATTTATTATTATAATTATTATTGTTATACTTTGTAGGTCATCAGGTCTTTTATATCTAGACTTTAGGTTTTCACCGGGTTCTCCGGTTTTTCCTATCAAAAACCATTTAGAGTCTAATTAGACATAAATAAAAATAAACTCTGACAACCAAACCACAGCTGTAACATCTGGGTTTATATTAATAAATTAAACAAACTAATAAAATCAGTCAGTAAACTTTGTCTTCCTGTGTTTCTCATTTCTGTCTTTACTTTCATCCGTCTTCATTCTGGTGTCAAACATTTGTGCTATGTTTGTGCAACAATAATTCTGTCAGCATAGACAACGACAACAACACGCATTTTTCTAGAAACCTCTACGAAGATCTGAAAGAGCAGTTTGGCTCTGCAGAAGAGCTGCAGAGCTGCTTTGGCTTTAAAGAAATTAATGAAAGTTTCAAGGTCAAAAGGTCAAACAGCCCCCTCCACTTTTACAAAATCAAAATGACCTTTAACCTTTCATTAATCTCTTTAAGGCCAAAGCAGCACAAACAAGAATTATTGTTGCACAAATGCAGCACAAATGTTTGACACCATTGTCTGATTTGAAGACGGAGGCAAAAACTTCAGGTTTGGTTTCTGATATTGTGATTCATAATATTTCATTCTCCTCATTGTTCCCTCAAAGCATATCAAACTTCATAAATGTTCTTATGAAGTATTTTGAACCAGTTTAAAGTTGGACATTTTTGAACAAACCAGTTTCCTTCTTAAAACTGGGAGCCGCTAATCATCAAACTATGTTTAAATATTGAAATTAATTTTGCTACTTTCATTTTTCTGGAAATATACCACTTTGGACCAACACATTACAAATATAAGTGATGCTTTAATATACAGTCAATAGATTTTTATAATCATCATGAAATCCCATCAGAATCAACAGATATGTTAGTTTCAGTTTTATTACTTTTATCACACATTTCACCCTATTTATCATTTGTCTTAGAAGAAATCAAAAAGTTCATTTATATTCAAATTAAATCTGCAAACCTCCCACTTATTTACATATTTATTTATGTTTTTCAACATGTGGTTTGGTGCAGATTTGAGTTTAGCGTCTGAATTTCCCGGCACACATAAAACAAGAAGAACTTATTCATGTTGCAGGAGCGGATATGGCTTTCCGTAAAAAGCTACAAATAACAATAATTCTCACGGTCCAAAACTTCCTGGAAACACGTAGAGCAAAAACCGGAAGTCATCTACTAAAATAAACGTGTCACTTCAAACTAATGCTGCTTCTTCCTGCGTTCTGTTTGGTTTCCAGGTTTTATTTTGAAAAGCGGAAGTAGAACCTATCCGTCCAACACAACTGGTCACCGGACCGTTGGCGGCCCGCGGGGCCCCCTAGTGGTGGGAAAGATACTGCATGTGAGTGACGGTTTATTTGTACGACGCTACAGTTAATTTAACTAATTACTCAAAGAATAAAATCACTACATGTTTTTACTCGAGTAAAAGTAAAAAGTATCCGTCGAAGAAATTATTCAAGAAACAGTAAAACACCAAAAGTCAACCCAAATATGGAAAAACTAGTGAAATTATCACCATCAGATGGACCAGAATATAAAGTTAATTGGAAATGTTGGTATTTTAAGAACTAAAATGACAATAATTCATACACAAATTACAAAAATAACAAAACAGGCAAAATAAAACAATGAAGTAAATAAAGCTCATTGATGCTATGAGCTGCAATCCTTGATAATGTCTTCTGCATCTCCATCTGTGGAAGCAAAAAGTTCTGGTTCTGCCTGTTCAGTCTGCAACTGCAGTTCTACTATCTGGCCACATGATGGCAGGGCAGCTCCGAGCTGAAGCGATCTGCTGGCGGTTTGATTTCCTGTCACTGTTTGAGTTTGATTCTCTAACTGTTGGCAGCTGCTGAGACCAGACTCAGAAACCTGAGCAGCAGCAGCAGCTAGCAGTAGATAGCAGGAGATAGCAGCAGATAGCAGTAGATAGCAGCAAATAGCAGCAGCTAGCAGTAGATAGCAGCAAATAGCAGTAGATAGCAGCAGCAGCTAGCAGCAGATAGCAGCAAGTAGCAACAGCTAGCAGTAGATAGGAGCAGCTAGCAGCAAGTAGCAGCAGCTAGCAGTAGATAGCAGCAGCTAGCAGTAGATAGCAGCAGATAGCAGCAAATAGCAGCAGGTAGCAGTAGATAGCAGCAGCTAGCAGTAGATAGCAGCTAGCAGCAGCTAGCAGTAGATAGCAGCTAGCAGCAACTAGCAGCAAATAGCACCAGATAGCAGCAAATAGCAGCAGCTAGCAGTAGATAGCAGCTAGCAGTAGATAACAGCTAGCAGCAAATAGCACCAGATAGCAGCAAATAGGAGCAGCTAGCAGTAGATAGCAGCAGCTAGCAGTAGATAGCAACTAGCAACAAATGGCAGTAGATAGTAGCAAATAGCAAATAGCAGTAGATAGCAGCTAGCAGCAGATAGCAGCTAGCAGCAAATAGCAACAGCTAGCAGTAGATAGCAGCAGCTAGCAGCCTGCTGCTTCCTGTTTCAGCTCTCAGGTTTGAACTTCCTGCCTGGTTTATCGCCTCTGAACCTCTGGACTTCCTCTCTGAGTGTCATTCCCAGCGTCCACTGAGGGGTGCTCCAACGCAGAAGTAGAAACTGCTAAAATAATAAATAAAGCTTCAGTTTTCATCCCGGGAGGAGAGAAAATCCTAAAAAAACAGAAAAACGGGGATTCTCAGTCAGACTGAAGATGTTGGAGTCAAAGATTTATTATGTTAATGGAGATGAAAATAATCTGCTGTGTTCCTGCGGGATAAAATCAGTTCAGCTGCTCTGGAGCCAGGGCGCGTATAGAGGGGGAGGTGATGACCCGTCTAAGGGCCCCTGGCCGACAGGGGCCCACCACAATTTATTTATTTATTTTTTGTTCATAGAAATAAAAACAAAAACTGGGGCCCTATCAATTACAAAATTAACCACATTGTGTTTTCTAAAATAGCTTTTAGCAGTAAAAATGAAATGTTCCCACTGCCAGACCAACAAACACGTCGATCTGTGCAGGAAACGGTTCCTTCCTGCTCAGCGTTCTGCGCTGGTCAGCATCAGTCTGTGCAGGACAAGAACAGCTGTGGCTGTTACTGTGCTGCCAAGAAAAACGATAAAATCAGGGTTTCAAACAATAAAAAGAAAAAATAAAGAGAGAGAGAGAGAAAAGGTAAGCTTGTCAATTTGTTTTTTCTCCTAGAGGAGGATAGACTGTGTGAGATTATACCATTTAGCATAGTTAGCTTAGCATCTGACGAATTAAGGAAAAAACTAGCAAGATTGAACTTGTCCCTGTACCTTTTACCACTTAACAACAGGAGAGTCGGTCAGCAGCAGCTCTAGTCCTTTCTCTCTTAAGGGAAATTAAGACTCAGAAAATTGTAACAGCAGCTGCAAAGGGGGCCCAATTAAATTTTTTATCAGAGGGCCCAAGATTCCTGGCGACACCCCTGTCTAGAGCAGTCATTCAGGGCTTTTATTTTGTAGGAAAACAGATTCACATAAACAATTGATAAACCTCAGATTTTTCCTTCCATGATCCAGTTTCTGTTCTGCTTCAGTGCTCAGGATGGATCTGCTTTATGCTAGCACGGCTAAAGCTGTACTAGCATAAAGACTAGCTGTGCTAAACTTAAAGCATTAATCATGAATATTAGTTCTGTTCATGCTAAAGTGTTGCGCTAGCATAGTAATTAATGTATGCTAATGCTCAAGCATAATTAGCAAAAGAAAATACTAAAGCGCTATAGCACAATTATTTGAAGCTAGTGCTAAAGGGCTACACCAACATAGCAATGAGCAGAAGCTAATTCTGCTATGTTGAAGCTAATGATAAATTATACCAACTTAATAATTAGCAACTAGCAGAACATAACATTACTGGTTATTACTGGTTATCATTGATGAACTCTGCAGCACTTTGGTTTACAGATGATCTCTTGTTTCACTCAGTAGCTGCAAGATTCCCTGGTCCTTTAGCCGTCTCATGCTAACTACCAGTTAGCTTGAGACGTCCTGATTTGCTGTTAGCCGCTGTCTAACTGCGCCTGCAGGCGTTTGGTGAAGCTCAGGGTTGGTAAATTTAAATCTTTTTAATTGTTGGATTGTTTTGGGATTAAACCTCCAAACTGTGGAGCTTTAAATCGGCTCCGGCTCCGTTCCCGGCTCACTGGCCGTTGCAGAAGCTGACGGTTTCTCCGGCGGCAGCAGCAGATGGATGTGTGGTCTGCAGACAGCACAGACACACACCTATTCAGGCTTGGTGTTTTTATCCTGGCCTTATTGGAAAAGCGTCCAGCGTGAGCTCAGCACTGAAATTAGATATTGATCCTCTCCCGCCCGGCGCTGGCGCTCCACGCTGGTGATCCCTTCTCTTTCATTTAGACCTTCTCTCCTTCTCTCTGTCACTCCTGGGATCCATTTAATTGCGATTCTTCTCATTTATGCGTCCTGGCTTCCATCACTGGTTCCTCCCACACCAACAGGAAGTGAGACGTGAGACTGGGAGAACTGGAGCTGCACCAGCAGCACCACATTCACTCATAATGGTTATAATTAGGACCATTTTATGTGTTTACTCTGACTATGTTAATAAATATTGTTCATATTACTGATATGTAGTGTAATTTGTATGAATAATTTATCCAAAAATGGCTAAAGGAAAATGAATGAGATAGTGTTATTCCACTTCAAAATAAGAGCATCAAACTTTGTAGGATCAAAACTTCAACAGTGCAGCCAATCAGAGATGAGGAGTTCATGCTGATGTTCAGAGGTGGCACACATCTGCTAATATGCTAATAGTGAAGCTCATTTTTCAGTTAGCGCTTTAGCGTCTTTGCTAATTTGAAATCATGTAGCGACCTTAGCTTCCTTGAAATCAAATGAATCCTAAGGTTTCAATAAACCTTCAGTTAATTTTTTCTGTGTTGTTAATAATTCTTTAAGTAGTTACATGCTTTTATTTTGAAGTGAATGAAAGCTGTTTAATTCCTTTTCCTCCAGACACTGAGATAATTTGATCAAAACATGAACAAGATATCAGACATAAAAACAATATCTATCAATAAACACATAAAAGATGTTAAACTTTATTCAGCTGAATTTAACCTCCAAGTAAAGCAAGACTTTGGAATTTATATGAAAATTTAAATGTTTTAAAGTTAGCAAAAATGCTAATGCGCTAAGTTAGCTCTGATTTTAGCGTGTTAGCGGACATGTGTCCACCTCCGAACATCATTATGACCTCTTTGGTGGAATCCCTGACCTCTGACCTCCTGTCCTGGATCTCCTGGATCCCGGTTCGCTCCAGGAGGAGGAACGCCGTTTTCCTGTCTGACGCTATAATAACGCTAAAAGCTTGTTATGGAATATTTGGCCATGAAGCCAGAAATATTCCTGCTGAGTTCAGCGTTCTGCTGCGCTGCTGATGCTACACAAAGCAGAAATGATCTGACACTTTATGTGATGCACTTATTGATCTAATCTGATCTCTGACTTTATGGCTGCTGAAGCTGCGGCTGTTCGCTCTGCAACCCAGACACACCAATACCCACATCACAATCCTGAACGTATCACATTCCTGGAGATTTAACAACTTTAATAACTAATATCACAGATAAAACATTAAGAGCCGATCAGATCCTGATCCGATTGGTTCCTTTATCTGCAGGCAAAGCTGCAGGAAGTCACTTTTTAAAAATGTTTTTTTTAAAGTGTCTCCATGTCATGACAGATGATCTGTGAGCAGACTGATCTCCTCCACCTCCACTCTGCTGCTATTATGGACCAAAATCAACCAATCAGAACCAGGAGGCGGGTCTCAGCGCTGTCCATCAACAGTGCTGAGATCTGCTGCTAAATGTGCTAATGGTCCAGAAACACCTTACTGCTGTAGAGAGATCATTTATCTGCTGTCATCGGTAGCAATGCTAACTAACCTTAGCAGGTTATGCTAGTTGCAGAGCTTGATTGACAGCACAAAGACCCGCCTCCTGGTTCTGATTGGTTGTTTTACAGAGAAAACAGAGGCGATTAATCTGTTCACAGATTATCTGTCTCATAACAAACATGGTGACATATTTCACCAATATATTAAAAAATATATTTTTTATAAAACTGACGTACTGCACCTTTAAGGGAAAGATGAGAAGACAGACGCTCTTCAAAATGGGAAAGACATTAAACAGATGACCTCAACAACATGGCTACTTCCCTGAATGTACAGGCGATGAGTGAAACTGTCCTACCATCACAAACGTAAAACATTTAGCGCTTTGCTACAGTTAAAAGTAAATCCCAGAGCTGGGAAAAGCAGTATGGAAGATCTGCTGAGGATGGATGAAAATATGGAAAATCATCTTTTATTATCCATATTTTCTTAGCTCTCCTGCAGCAGAAGCTAACATCTGCAGCAGAAGCTAACATCTGCAGCTAACATCTGCAGCAGAAGCTAACATCTGCAGCTAACATGTGCAGCAGAAGCTAACATCTGCAGCTAACATCTGCAGCAGAAGCTAACATCTGCAGCTAACATGTGCAGCAGAAGCTAACATCTGCAGCTAACATCTGCAGCAGAAGCTAACATCTGCAGCTAACATGTGCAGCAGAAGCTAACATCTAATATGTCTATTCAGGGCCCATTGAGAGAAAAGTGGAACAGCGTCGCATGGAGGCGTGAAAACTTTGATCATTCTCTGAGTCAATTGAATCTTTTTTTCTGCAGTTTTTTTCCACTTTATCAAACGATATTGTTTTTGTGATGGTTATGGTTCTGAATGGGTTCTGAATGGGTTCTGAATGGGTTTCCTCTGCTGAAGCTTATTTTCCTTTTTCTGAACAGAAACTGAACAATCTGTGAGACGCTGTCTGAACAGGAAGCGTCTCTTCGCTCTTCCTCCAAACTCCCTCGGGATCACCTTCACTCCTCTGTTGCTAGGCAACCGACAGGAAGAGCATCACAGGAAGACACTTCAGGCTGCAGACAGACCTGGAAAAGCAACATGTCGGCCCGCTGCGCGCTGAAGGAGCTTTATGAGCTTAAAGGCTGAAAAACAATAAAACATCAAACAGGATGAGGAGGACAATGATCCTGTCCCTCAGTGGGGACAGATGGAGCCAAACTGAACAGTTCCTGAACTAAAGAACTGGATGTTATTCAGTAAACAGTTTCCTGGGCTCTCTGGCTGCTCAGCTGCTCTGTTTGTTTTCCACGTTGCCTTGTTGCAGAAGCAACCGGAGTGTTTATTCTGGCAGCTCAGCGAACACAGAGCTTCTCCGCGTCGGATCGGATTTATTTCAGGGATCAGTGTCAGAATATGTGACCCAGAGTAGATCCAGCCTCTAGATTGTGACCATTTATTTCTTTTCTTTACAACATTTGGATCATTTAAAAGTTTCCTGGATTTTCCTAAAATAAAACATCCAACAAAGAGAAAAGTAGAACCAGTTTGAACATGGAAAACCCCAAACAGCCGACGCTACAAAATATGCAAACATAAACTTTTACAATGTTTCACCTTTTTATTCAGTAATTATTACATTAATGTAGCGTAAATGTCACTTCATACTGTCTGACATCAGTCGGTCTGTTTAGTTTCCTGGTTCCTTCCTCTTCTCAGAAACTCGTCCATTTTGCGCTAAGCTAACCAGATTAGCAATGACTCGATGAACCCTGCTGCGTTTTCTTAGACTGAAAACTTTTCAAACTAATTTTAACAATAAACTGAAGCTGATGCATTGACTGGACCAGCTGGAATGGGCTGATCCAATCTGCTGCCTGTGAACTTTGAGTTTCCTCTTCATCCATGTCTGGGAGCTCCGCCCTCCTGCCTCGGTCCAAACATTGACCTCACGGGTCAAACCAGCGTCTCATCCGTTCCCGGCTGGAGTTACTGCGGACGGTACGGAAGCAGCTGAGGGTCAAGATTAGAGATGGAAAGCAGAGCGACAGGAAGAGGCTGGAGGACAAACTACAGAGGGACGACATCACAGGATCCATGAGGCTGGCAAAGAGCGATCCGATCTGTTGCTTCAGAACAACATGAAGGGATTTCTGCTTCCTGTGAAAACTTTCTGTGGCAGCCATTTTGCTGAGACTGTCTTCAGTCAGAGGCTGTTTCAGATTCCTAACAGCGAGTCTGCAGAAAACTCCTGATGTGACTCTTGATCCTACAGAACCTGTGAAAGAATCATAAATCTGATAACGAAGGCTGGTTCTGTTCTGGTTCCGGTGCTGTACAGCACCACAACTGTTCTGGTTTTTACAAGATAACACTGGATCCTGTGTATATGTAAACTGGATCCAGTGTTGATGCTGGTGTAAACTGGATCCAGTGTTTTTGTAAACTGGATCCAGCTGAGGCTCCGTCTTCCTGTCAGTAAAATAAATCCTGTGTCCATGGAGCAGCTGAGATGAGGGACGGCGGCGGCTGCTGATTTGCATGTGTGCGAAAACCAGCTCATCTCCAGCTGCGGCTCAGAAAACGTCCACAGAAGATTTATCTGGAGTCGGTAATGTGGCCTCTTTTCATGCAAGTGAAATTCCTCCTTATCTCCCTGCTGCCTGCTTTCTCTCTGCTTCAGAGTCTTTCTCTTCCTCGTGGCGAAGCAGCAGCAGCGTTTCCTTCGCCTCTGTCACCTCCACTCCCTCCTCCCTCCCTCCGCCTCCCGCTGCTTCCATCCACCCTTCCCTTTTTTCCGCCGTGTGTTTGCAGATGAAACGGGCAGCCTGCCAGTTTTTCATATTCTTGGCAGCAAAGTGGCGAGCCAACTTCCTGGGGATGGGGAGCGGCGGGGAAGGGGGCCGGGCCTCGCAAAAGTTACATTTGCACAATGTGTCTGAGGAAAAAGAGAAACCGGCAAAGAAGAGGGAGAGAGGGAAAAAAAGAAGGAATAAAGGAAGGCGAAGCTGGGCTGGATCAGCTAAACGACTCCCTCATTCTGGATAATGGAAAAAACCCTCTGGGGGAAAATTCAGTATGCAGAGGATCAGGCTGCATGCAGCCATTATAATGATTCCTTCTCTTTGTCTTTTCTCTGGAATGCACACACACACACACTCACACACACACACACACACTCACACACACACACACACACACACACACTCACACACACACACACACACTCACACACACACACACTCACACACACACTCACACACACACACACACAACACATACTCACACACACACACACACTCACACCAACACACACACATACACACACACACACACTCACACACACTCACACACACACACATACACACACACACCAACACACACTCACACACACTCACACATACAGACACACACACACACATACACACACACACACTCTGGGACTCTGAACGTCTGAAAGCAGCTGAATCCTCGGAGAACCTCAAGGCTCAATCCCAGGACCCTCCTGCTCCCACCTGCCCAGGTGAGATTAGTTACCATGACAACGCAGATGATGCACAGATCAGTGGATGAACAGAACTGAAGTTATTAAAGAGGAATGATCTAGAACTATAGATCTAGAGTTTGGTTCTAGAAGCTTATTCCACCGTATCCCCCTGACCAAAGCTCTCAGCCCTCCGTTGCCTCCTGATCTGAGTGAATAGATGAATCTGAGTGAATGGATGAATCAGAGTGAATGGATGATGTGGCTCAGCTGTTCCATAAGTCCGGTCCAGTCAGCACAGAACCGGTCCGCCTCCACCAGAGACGCCCCGCAGAGGAGACTCATCCGGTCACTGAGTGGAGAAACAAAGGTCAGAGGTCACAGGAGAGCTTCACCTGCCTCAGACTCCATCGTCAGGAGACCTCTGACCTCCAGAGCGCCACCAGCAGGCGGGGCAGGTGAAGGGCATTTATTGCGTTGCCGTTGGTTCCTCCCAAAGAGAAGAGAGGAACCAGCATCACTTTGACCTGGTGACCAGAACCTCCAGGTGAGCCGTCTGGGTCGGGAAACGGTCCGGTGTCGGATTCTCTGATCGGTTTCTGTCGGGTCTCTGATGGCAACAACATTCACATCAACTTGGAAGATCTACAGTACCGCCCCCTGGTGCTCAGGGTGAACTATTGACCCTGGGCAGGAAGTGGATGGGCGGGGCTTAAATACAGCAACCAATCAGAAGGAGAACAGCCTCTACAGGAAATGCATGATTAAAATAACTTTAAATTTTCAGTAACATTAATCTTAAAAGGCAAATTCATAATATATTTATGCTTTTTATTGTCCACTCAATTAATGTTTGAGATAATAACTCATATAAATAATTAACATTTCATATAATTTATGTTTTGTACTTTAACAATCACACAGTTTGACTTTATTTGGTATTAAATTATTGAAACAATTTGAGGAGCTAAGCGCTAACTGATCCTGTTGCTGTTATTTGACCTTATGACCCCTACAGTTTTCTCTAAGGTCTTTGGTGACGTCAGAATCAGCACTAACTGACTGAAGGGTGTACTTAGTTTTTCTCCAGATGCTAACTCTATGTTTGAATAAAGAATATTTATGTATTTAGTTCAGGTTTAAGTCGCTGGTTTTCTCTGCATTCAGTGCTGGAGGAGCAGAGGGGTGTACTTTCTTTCTTTCTTTTTCTTTCTTTCTTTCTTTCTTTCTTTTTCTTTCTTTTCTTTCTTTTTCTTTCTTCTTTCTTTCTTTATTTCTTTCCAGCATGAACATCCAGGACGTTCAGGTCCAACATTTGGTTCTTCATCATGTGAGGATGAGCAGCAGCTGCATCTAAATGAGAAATTAGCTGCTTCTCAACAATAACAGCCTCTGCTGCTGAAAACCGGCTTTTCTTCCTCTCTGCTCTCCACACACACGCACACACACACACACACAACACACACACACACACACACACACACAACACACACACACACACACACACACACACACACACACACACGCACACACACACACACACACACAGCCTCCTCCTCCCTCTCCTCTTTGCTGTGCTGCTTCTATAATTCAGATTCTGTCATGCTTGTTCCAGAATGCTGGCTGCAGCCCCCACCGCCTCCTCCTCTTCATCCTCCTCTTCCTCCTCCTCTCTCTCTCCTGAAGTAGAAAAAAAGAAAAAGCTTTGGAGAGAAAGAAAAAAAGGTCTTTGAGGGACAAAGCTGACAGAACCGCACACAGACAAACACAGCGAGAGAAAACTAAACGGAAAATGTTGAAACTCTCTCTCTATGTCTCTCTCTCTCTGTCTCTCTCTCTCTGTCTCTCCGTCTCTCTGTCTCTCTCTCTCCCTCTGTCTCTCTCTGTCTGTCTCTCTCTCATTAGTTCAGTTTTCTGCTCTCTCTCCATCCCTGGTTCTCATCAGAATCAGGATTTTATTTCTTCTTTTCTTTCATTTAAAAGTTACTGGACCGATTTAACAAACAGGAACTATGTTTCCCATGATGCTGCTGGGCTGGTAACGTTGACCTATGACCTCTGGATGTGAATCAGATGAATGTTGTGGGTCACAGTGAGATGAGTTGTTGGTTGCATTCAGCATCTTTAAACCCTTAAAGTGTAATTGATGCAGCACTTCAGCCTGCAGGCAGGGGCAGCAGAGCGCTCAGGTTGCTCAGAGTCTCAGAAAGGCTGTTAGCATCAGTGCTAACATGTTAGCTTCATTCTGCTGCTGTAAAGGGGAGTCGTGACCTTTTAATAAAGTGACCAGGTTTCCTAATCATACTTCATAATTTAATGCTTCAAACTGGGTCTCTGTCTCTTTAAGAAGCTCCTGTTTTTATGTAAAATCCAGCTTTTATTTTGATATTCTACTTCCGTTTATTCGCAAAATCTGTTTGCATATTAGCTGACATACATATTTCCTTTGAAACGCCATTGTTATTATTTGTTTTTATTTTTTAATCCAACCAAACATCTGTGGAGTCAAGAAGGACAAATATTCTTTATGAATAAAAATCTGAAAAGTGTGGTTCATTTTTTTCAGCAGGTCAGTCCACTTGGATTCAGAACGTCCCACAGATCCTCAGCTGGATTTAGGCCTGGACTTTGACTAGGCCACCGCAGCCTGTGACTGCTGTGTTCAGCAGCTGAGGGACAGCATGTCTGTCCAACTCGTGGGAACGTTTTCCTGCAGAGACACGACCCGCTCTGGTGTT